GTCAAGTAAAAGTATCAATTGCTTTAAAACAGGAGGTTTACTTGAGATTATTTGGTCAGTGAAATTAGCATAAAAGGCAATTTTCCACGTCTATTTACTACTTTACGGGGCAAGTACTGAACTTTAAATCAATTTAATAAGTACCCGATAAAGAGCTTGAAGAATCGAGGTTATATCTGATTGAATATTGCTGTTATTTATTCAAAGACACATGACCATTTATTCTCTTTAAATAATTCGGAGATGTATTTTGATATATCTGAGTCGAGATACATTACGAGTGGGCCTTATCTCACATAGTGCCTCAACGAATGATAGTTTCAGCTAATTCATAGAGTTTTTATTGTTCTATCCCTTCGAAAAGGAGTCATTCTGTTCTGATTATAAAGGTTTAATCAAAGGCCATTGGAAGAATCTCGACAAATACAATGTCATGCAGTAAGTGCGAATTTGTGAATCATCTTCCGGTTGGTATTCCGGTCCACCTAACTGTTCCCAAGTTTTATAGTCTTACACGTTGGTTATCAATTATCAGTGAGTTACGTGTTGAATGTCAGGAATCTTTGGAGTCCGCTTAATGTTTTCATTTTTCGTCTTAACTGTTTATTTTGTGTGGAATACTAAACCTATCACTCATTCTAACATCGTCGTTGGGGTCGTATGTATGTGGTTTATTTTTAATCACAGGTGACCCGTGCTCGTACCGGTACACTCACCATCGCTCTGGAGAGCGGTCAGACACTGACCGTGCCCGCGGAGAAGGTCACGTACAACCCGCGTGACTCGGAACCGAACTCTGACTTTGAGACGGCCAAGGCACTCAGCAAGCTCAGCGGATCACCGCTACCAACGGTTCGCAACCGGTATGCACTCATAGAAGAACGGGAAGAAAAGCTGTAATATCTTCCTTGCATGCTCAGATGAGAAACCTGCATGACCCGGATGTCTTCATCCCGCATGAACTTTAACCTATAGTTTCGTCATCCATCCATCCATTTCATCCTTGAAATAAAAACCATGACTAAATCATTAACAAGTCTTTGACTTGAACAACCAATGAATTGTTGTACTGATTGTTTTGTTTTTGTTTTTGTTTGGTTTGTGATTTACACACTATACACAGAATGCACGAAATATGAGTTGTATTGAACTAATACTGATATCACACATTATGTGCTAATGACTGAAATATATGCACTAAAATCTTTCGAACTGAAAATACTGAAATACTGCATGTTTAACCTTATCGTATTGTGCACTTACATACGCATTTCGATTAAGTGGCACCATTTACTTCGATGTTTGCTTATATAGTAGAAAATACTTTCATCAATATTTGTTGTTATACTATTATTATTTTCTGCGAATCAGAAGCAATTGTGCGGCATGTGCATGCATTAGTTGAAGACCGTTGTTTGAATAAGGCATATTAACCAAAAACCGACCCCAAAATCTTGACATCTAGGCTTCGAAATGAGAGATATTAATATTTTAATTCTTGTAAAGAAAGTGCGTGGAATGACACCTACCTACGTTAACAAATAGATCATGTCGAAAGATTGATTGTAGATGTGGATAACACATAATGCACGGTGGAGGGACTATGTAAAAACGGAACTAGGCACTGATTTTGACACTTCTGTTTGCACCCAATTACATTTACAGTCGCGCGGCGTCTAAAACAATCAAGGATCCTGAAGCGAATCCGGGAGCGAACACCGAAGAAGGAATCGACCTCCCCAGTGGTACCGGTACCTCAAGTTTCGGTGTTCAGGCTGACATGGACGATACGCGATTTTAAAGAAAGAGAGACATAAAAAATCCCTGCTGAAATGGAGGTGCTTTCAAGTTTGTTGTTGACTATTCTCTGGTGTTAACCTGAAATCCACGGTTTAAAAGATCGTGTTAGAATGTACTTTGGGATTCACATGTTGGCTTTGGTATTTGGTGTAATATAGATGCCCCAACACCCCTCCCCCCACCCCCACAAGAAAAATAAAAACATAGGTTGATCTAACACCAACGTTCTTGGTCTACATTTGGCTACATTTGGTGATAACACCATCCAAAATTCTTTTCAATTTTCATCTCAATACCGACTAAATCCTAGCAAGATAGCAGACTGTTGTGTGTTGTTCAATTTGATTTTACACCAGACTTCAGGAAAAAAAACACCCTACTTGAAATCACCCTAAATATGATTACATTAATCATATCCTGATCAATGCGAGTTCTCCAGAAGTCGAAGGATAATAACGACTATCAAAGTCGATTGGATTTGAATTAGATTAATCAATAAATGGTATATTCTTTTCTTCCGGATTATCTCGTTGAAAAAAAATAGCATATCAAGTGCAGTATCATGTGTTTCGTGATTTTGTATTCTTATTTGAATTCACAAATTAATTGAATTTCACACTATTTCGGCTTCCATGTTAATCAAATATTGTATTCATTTTAATTTCATTTCACTCGTGTGTGAAATCATATTTATCGCCACTTCGCTATATCAGAAAAAAAAAGAATTTATTGACTTTGGAAACGGTATTCATGTGGTTATACTACTATGGCGTTTAGTTTGTTTTAGATATTCGAAATGACATGAAATATGGTGTGTGCTTTGTGCGTAGATATCCGTTTTGTGAAATAATTATATTTGCCTTTCTCTCAATTCATATGACGTATAACGGATGAAATTTTAAATTTGTTAACGAGTCACTAACTTCTCTGCGCGATCTTCATGTTCATGTTTTTCTCGTGTAAATATTCACCAGCACAAAATAAAAATGTCAAGAACAAAATTTCACGCCGTGATACTATGCAAAAAGTTGACATTTATGTATAATGAAATTTAATGAATTCACGTGTGTATCGAGTCTTTCTTATGATTAGTCTTTCAAAGCAATTTAAAACAAATTCAATAATGAATGCAATGCTATATTTTTCTATTTCTATTTGATGATTTTGTGAGTTTCGAAACATACATGCCAATGTCTTTCTGAAGATTTGTTTTAGAATTGACCATGATTAAAACATTCATTCCAATACGCAATTGAATACTTTAAATACATGAAACATTCATCTTCCATAGTGATTTTAAGGTGCTGAGTACAAAAATGTTTTATTTTGCAATATTTTGAATAAAATGTGCTGCAGTAAACCAGAATTGAATCATGAATTGATTTTCAACAAATAATGCACTTCAGAGCAGTTGCAATTGTAATTATAGAATGATAAAAGCGGAATAATTTAATTTGTATTAGATAGCTTTACCGTTTTTAATGATCATTAACGTTTTTAACTTATTTCTCTCATTAATCTTGTTGGCCCATACCCATTAATGTCATTATTTGCTTTTACTGTCAGTATATTTTCTATTTGCTCGGTGATATTATTTTAGTAGTATACCGTATGGTTTTAGCTGTCTTGAAATAATCGCTTTTTACACATGTTTTCTATGTTTACCAATAATGTTTGCTTTTTCGAGAAAATTACACTTCCAATAAGTGCCTTGTTTATGATTTTTGTAGATATTTTATCGAACGAAATCAAAATTCTTAAAAGTGAAATTGACCTCATGGTCCTAAAAAGTAAAATTGAAATCATTAGAAATATATATTTGTTCTCTTATACGTAAATATGTATGTTGCATTGTATACATTTGAGATGATAGTATGGCTAAAAGTGGTATTCATGGAACTTTTTAGAGTAACTGAATGTTTGATTGTAAACCGATTTTAAGATGAAATAATATTTGGTCCTGCATCGCTCGTGTTAAGGTTATGTATATGCACTGTTGATAAATGTATGTTTCTTTTTTTATTACTAAATGTATTTGAACGCTCAAAGATACCTTAATTTCTGTAATGAATATCGTGATGTTTGAGAGTGTGACCGTAAGCTAAATTAGTGTTAACATTAAAGTATTGGAAAAGGTGAATGGAGATAAATATGTGAAGATTAAATGAAATAAAAAACATTTTAAGAGATTATTTTACCTTTTTTTTGGTACAAAATATTTGTATTATAGCAAAAAGCAAGCGATGGAATGTTGAAGGGTTAGGTATTATGCAGTAAATTGCTGGATGCGAATATCAGCAATTTTAAATGTGTTTAGTGACATTTCTTAACTTTTTTTTTACTATTCTATAATTGTACACAGTCCACACCTCTCACGTTATAGTGAACAATTTGATGCATGTTGAAATAATGTAACATAATTCCGTTATTACAAAACTTTACGTTTTTCTGGCGCCGCAAAGGGGATATCAAGGTGGAGCTTTGAATTTGAGTGGTAAGTGGTATATGTTTGGCGCTTATGTCGTAAGCGGGCTTACAGTAAAAAGACAACCCCTAGTCTTCTTTGTATTCTTGTACGATTAGTGAGTCTTTATTTTTACAGCAATTAAAGAGGCATTGATAAAACAAAATAATGAGCGTACGATTTCATGTACTTTGTGGCGGGTCCTGTTTGTTCTAAGAGACAGAGAAAGTCACATAAAAAGGAAATAGAGGGAGGGAGAGAGCGAGAGAAAGGGCAAGATGAGGAAAGATAGAGAGAGAGAGAGAGAGAGAGAGAGAGAAGAGAGAAAAAAGTGATAGGCACAATGTGTGTGTGTGTGTGTGTGTGTTTGCGCGTGAGAGAGAGAGGGGGAGAATGAGATCGCCAAAAGGGAATTGAGGGGAAAATAAAAATATAGGAAACAGATGGCAGTGGTTATAGCCCCTCATACCCCCTTCTTTCGCCCCCTCCTCTCTCTCCCTCTTTCTCTCTCTCTTTCTCTCTCTCTCCTTCTCTCTCTCTCTCTACCACTCGATGTATTTGTCTATGGTATATGGGGTGCCCCATCTCAGTGGTACACCACTGTGGAAAACAAATAAGTTTGCTTCCAGAAAACTGTAACAGATGCAAGGTCAAATTAAATACAAATTGTAAACCACGAATTTATACAAAAACTGCCAACATAGGCTTTTAATACAAAATACAAAAAAGAGATCGATTCCTAATCCACACAATATCCGCCATTTGCTGTTTTATTAATTGTGCACCATTGAAAATAGCAAGAAGAAATAGGCCTATTATGGTAAGTCGTGGACAGACAACCCCGATGACATATTTCATAAAGAATTCTACCATTGCGCCCAACGAAATACAAAATATAAAGGCTACATTAAACAAAAAGATAAAATATCAAATAGTCCTCATGCATAATTCACATCATTAAGAGCCAACAGATAATATGAATTTCCATAGGCCGCTTCCAAAAGCGTATAATTCCAACAAGTTATACAATAATATGAAGGTGGTCTCAAAAGGGATTGTTAATATTGCGTTATTGCATTGATGCAAACATACACACAAAATTAGAAATTCAAAAATATACATTATAAAATACTGACATAATGATTAAAACATTAACGAGTGAATCTATCAATCTGGGTTAAAAAAAAAACATTTAGTACCTGTGGACGGGACAGTTAAAATCGACAGTTTGATGGAATGGTAACAAGATAAGACAAATGGAGAGAAGGTGGAAAGTAACATAGACGAAAAGTAACATTGAACAATGAGACAGGCATAATGTACATTATAACTATACAGACATTTATATCGTGGTGAAATTAACGCACTCATATTTTCTAGGACAAAATCGGTTCCCTTTATTTAGAGTACTTGAAAGACAAAGTTTCTGACACATTCAATATGTTTTTCCCAAATTCTTTTAAATTTGGGATTAATCATAAATTCTAAAGATAATTTTTGCATGACGTCATACAAATTGAAACAGGACTTACCATTTGGGGGCGTATCAGTGACATATTATGTAGCTATGGGGATACAGAGGCATACGTGCTCAATTCAAAATAGAATTGACAATTGACACATGCTTATGCCACTGCTATACCAAGCGCTGATCAGTCATACGAAGTAAACAACAACAAAACAAAATAAAACAAAACAAAGCAAAGATGACGAAGAGACAGCCCAGCTCATGACAAGCTTAATTTTGTTGAATCATTCTATCGTTTCACCCTCTCCTCCCCCATTCTGCCTCAAAATCATCACTAAGCATATACCTCGTGTTTTTAGTTTTGCTATTGACACAAATAAAATTGTCGTAGAATCTAACGAATTGGCCCTGCATTTGAAAATTACTCCATAGAGAGTGTATGATGATATGAAAGTAAGAAAATACATATTGAAAGAAAGATTATGAAATTACTGAAAAACGAACAAAAACACTGGTAATCGAGATATTAGAAAATGGAATCCGTTGTATGCATATCGGTGCTGGTAGTTTACGGAACATGTCATATTGCTGCAAGTTTTCGTAAAAAATAAGCAAAAAAGCAATGTTTACTGGTGCAAACAACCATTCCATTGCATGGTAAATAATTCAAATGACCTGGAATGTTTAAGATTACCTAAAGACGAAATCCATGCTCACTTTTCGCAAACTCTAGTAGAAAAGGTTGGTCATTTCTTTACCAAGAGTTCTTATTATATTTTATCTTTATCGTCATTATTTGTACCTGAGTTTATTTGCCGGATGTAATCAGAACCCAAGGTGACATTGATGATGATAATAATCATCAATCTCGATTTATAGCCCATCTAAAGTGTTGGGAGCCCCACAAATTTGATGGCAAAATTTCACTTAAATTGTATCATAACGTGAAAGAGGATGTCATTAAAACACATTTCTAACACATGGATAAAGAGGAATCATTTGATGACATCACATTCATATCAATGTTTGTGACCGATTGCCGATTAGCCATTTTTAATTTGCATGCTGTACATACTGTCTCTATAAATTTACATAAATCTCAATAAACTATCATTTAAAACAAAAACATGTAGAATTATAAAAAAAATGTCAGCGATTGTTCACATTTCGTAATTTCCCATTCTTTTTTTCTTCTTATTTCATGAACAATCACTAATTACTTTTAAACAAAATTTTCTGTTTTCATTCGAAGCAACCAAACTAGGACTTCGCGAAGAACCATCCCAATCTTTATAGGGTAGTAGATATTGTATTCCAACCACTGAGAGACATAGCGAAAATGGCTTGAAGCAGTATAACCACTATTGATGCGGCCACTACCGGGGTACCTTTGGCGTATGGCCCACAGTATGGACTATTTGCAAACCGAGCACACTGGAGCCACATGATTTCCCTAGTAAAATAAAGAAACAAGAAACAGTACAGAAAATTGTTTTAAAATGCGGTAGTAATTGTAAGTGAAAAGGGAAGTTATTGGAGGAAAAAAATGTAATGTGAGTGAGTGAGAAAGAGAGAGACATGGAGAGAGAGACAGAGAGAGAGAGAGAGAGAGAGAGAGAGGGAGAGAGAATGAGTGCAAATAAAACATGCATGCATACAACTAATCATTGTATTAAAAAAGTATTGCCCTTGTCTCAATACATTGTTAATACAATCACGCGGACAATCAAGAAATCAAATCAAGTGCAATTTCAATACCATATACTGTTTATTCCGTTGAAATCATATACAGATTACGTAATCATCATCAGTCAATCGGTGATAGGCTATTGAAAGTGCTTGAGGCCGAGTTTCAGAAACTCTTTTGCGATCATGTTTAACAGGCTGGCTTATTAAAAATGTGCATATTATGCATGTTTTTTTAAAACAAAATTGGTAGTTCTTGCCAACCTGAAAGCTTGCCCGACACTTGCCCGACATAGCAACATGTAGTGTTTGCAGACTGGATTCCAAGTATTGTTGTTCATTCACTAATACCATGATAATGGAATAACTCGTCACTAGATCCCCATGAAAGAAACATCCATACTTTTGAATATGTTAGTGTACCGGTCTTATTGACATACAGGATCTTAACTTACTTGGGGTTCTCCTCACATGTCACATTAAAATTCATGTTCATCAAGAAATTCTGCAAGTACAAAACGCTTCCATTGGTACACGTCTCTCGATACCTTGGATGATAAAAATCAAAATCGAAAATTGATTTAATTCTGGATCTAAGCTATATAAACTCAAATAAATATCAATGATACAGCTTCTTGTGAAAGCCCTCATGTCCGTCACGCCGTGACGCTCCTGGGGCCCGTTTCATAAAATGTTTAATCTATAACAAATCTATGACAAATTTGCTCTCAGCCAATCACATGCCATGATTTCAGTAGCTTATAACAGTAGCTTGTAACTTGTTATTGAATAGTTTTATGAAACGGGGCCCTGGGCCATGTTTCATGAAACTTGTTATCAATAACAGGTTACAATAACTGTCATAAGCTCCTGAAATTGTGGTATCTGGTTGGCGGAGAGCAAATTTGGCATTTGCTATTGATACAAAGTTTTATCAAACAGGGCCCTGGCTGGCAACCCAACTTTATTACCCCGGTATCGTCGGGGTATTTAACAAGCAATATTATTGCAAAAGCCAGTTTGTGGATATCACTCAAAGAGAGAGACAGACACGGAGAGAGAGAGAGAGAGAGAGAGAGAGAGAGAGAGGGAGATACAGACAGACAGACAGTTAGTCAGACAGACGGAGAGAGGCAGAGAGACAGACAGATACCTTTTGGTCTCGCTGGCCTTCAGTCTGGGACTCCATACGTCCTCATGAAGCTTAGGTCGACCGGAGTTAAGTTCACTTTAGGTCATGTGAGGCGAATATGAATGGACCGTTATTCGGAAAATTTAGTAATTAATCCCGCAGAAAGAAAACAAAACTGAAGAAAAAAAAAAAATATTAATGTCCTTAATTTGTTCTTACATCTCATTCGGAATCGGAAGTGTGAAGTCTGGGATGAGATAGATGGCGACATTTGTGACCACGTCCTGGTTGAGATTAGGTGCTTCTATCGTGGCGAATATACTGAAAAATGACAAAACAACACAACAAATGAAAGGTAATACACTGTCTGGTATATTAGGTTTATTCGATTGAACAACGATTATCTCATTTTCTTAGCTTTAAAGATAATCAGACAGTCACTACTCGCTATATACTTTCCCCCTTTCACCCTTGGATAGTCCAGGCATAATGCTGGTACACGTATTTTGACTTTCAAAAAAATCCAAAATTCCATTCGCATGGTCGAGGGGGGTAGCGTATTCCACCCCCCCCCCCCCCCCACCTTAATCAGACAGTCACTACTCGCTATATACTTTCCCCCTTTCACCCTTGGATAGTCATGGCATAATGCTGGTACACGTATTTTGATTTTCAAAAAATCCAAAATTCCATTCGCATGGTCGAGGGGGGGGGGGGGGGTAGCGTATTCCCCCACCTTTGATCTATTGATGGGAAAATTACAACATTTCCTGGCAACTACTGGCAACTACATGTTTCATGCCAAAAAAAAACTTTCTGCTCAGTGTTTGATTCGCAGAAAAGAAGAATATCAATTTTAATGGCAAAATGCCACGGCTGTCTTTTTGTTATGACGAATGTGCTCTCAGCCAATCACATGCCATGATTTCAGTAGCTTATAACAGTAGCTTGTAACTTGTTATTGAATAGTTTTATGAAACGGGCCCCTGGGCCATGTTTTACCCTTGTATCCCCCCCCCCCCCACCTTAAACCTATTGATAGGAAAATTACAACATTTCCTGGCAACTACATGTTTCATGCCAAAACAAAACTTTTTGCTCAGTATTTGATTCGCAGAAAAGAAGAATATCAATTTTAATGGCAAAATGCCACGGCTGTCTTTTTGTTTTGTGTGTGGTTAAAATTTACAATGCCCTTGGTTGTTAGTTAAATTTTGATGAGATTATTTGGCACGCCAACTATCAAAAATATCATCAAGGTGTTGCAATCGTCAAATGTTTAGGCATACAGACAGTGGTGAATCCGGAGGGGATGGCGGGGAGGGGGCACGGGAAATAATAAAACAAAAATCCTAGACTGATTACCCCTCCCCCCCCCCCCCCCCCCCCATCGGACATGTGTCCCTCCCCACATCAGATATTCCTGGATCCGCCAGTGACAGAAATAGGGATCTATGTTAGTGATTCTCTAAAAAAAATAGGGACTTTTAGATTTGCACGTCGACATAGTGGACTGCTACGTGTGACGTCCTTTTAAGGCAGTGTGACTTTCCCTTAAAATGACGTCATACGTAGCAGTCCACTATGTCGAAGTACAAATCTAAAAGTCCCCAATCGCCGCTATGGGGTCGAGATAAACGAGTTACATGATATCTCCTTACCTGCCATTATTGAAAGCCCCGCAAAACAAAAATCATAGACTGATTACCCCTCCCCCCCCCCCCCCCATCGGACATGTGACCCTCCCTACATCAGATAATCCTGGATCCGCCAGTGACAGAAATAGGGATCTATGTAAGTGGTTCTCTAAAAAAAAAACAATAGGGACTTTTAGATTTGCACGTCGACATAGTGGACTGCTACGTGTGACGTCCTTTTAAGGCAGTGTGACTTCCCCTTAAAATGACGTCAGACGTAGCAGTCCACTATGTCGACGTGCAAATCTAAAAGTCCCCAATCGCCGCTGTGGGGTCGAGGTAAACGAGTTACATGATAATTCCTTACCTGCCATTGTTGAAAGCCCCGCCAGCTCTTTGCGCATTCAGAACAACATAGACGTCACCAACAGCTTGCGTTGCTAGCTGTACCAGGAAGAAAAAAAAACATTATCATCAGAGCGTTTAGATTATATATGCATAAGAATTGTATTTATTCAAATACAATGATTGTATTCATAATCAAATCACGGTATGCGAGTTAGAGTCCAACAATGCACTATAGCATACCTCAATGACTGAATAGTTCAAAATCACTTCCCGTGAACCTTAGAATTAAAGGCACGTTATTATTAGCTTCAAAGGGTGAATTGTTGGGTGAACAGCTACATCGTGGGTTACAAACATATCCCTACCAATATCTCATTTAATTGCTACAGTAAAAAAATTGCAACTATAATAATAATAATAATAATATGGATATTTATATAGCGCCGGTATCCGCCAGGCTCTGACGCTCATGGCGCTGTACATACATGTATTACTATCACAAAAATATAAATTTCTTAACTAAAATAAAGAAAACTAAAACAACACAAATTATTACGCTACATTGACATGATTTAATAGCACTGTTTAGAAAGAGATGGGTTTTTAGAGCAACTTTGAAGGCATGAAGGGTAGTTAAATTACGAACACTAAGTGGCAGCTTATTCCAAAGGGACGGACCGGAATGAGAAAATGCTCTATCCCCCAGGAACTGCGCGTCCTATAGTATAGTATTGGGTCAGAATAAGACTTTGGGCATTTTGATTCCTCATGGTTCTTACTCTTTCCCGACTGCTGTAACTTGCCATGTTTTCTCATTCTCTTCCGATTATTATTTCACACAATATAGGCCTAGCCTATTTTCAGAAGCACGTAAATATTGCTATCATCTTGATATTATTATCTAGTTGAATTGCTCTCATATAATATCCATGTATTCTATGTCCTTAGACAATGTATGTGAATGCAGTATTGTTTCCAAAAGAAGTAAAGCTCATAGAGAATTCTACGAATTATTATGCGCTTTATAAGCACTTTCCACCATCATCGTGATGTACTTCTTCGTCCTGAATCTCTACTCATATTTTTTTGTTTTGAACTTAACCTCTCATTTTTTAAATAAGTATAGTGCATTGAAATTGTCTCAGTTTTTTAGTTACATATCCGATTTTTTTACTTTGGCATAGAGGCCGGCACAGTTTTATGTACATTAGGCGCTAACACTTTGTAAAGAAAATAATCTGATAATAATCTGGATGTTGCATCTCAAGGTTATTCAGAAATAGTGATTCTTTTTATCTGTAATACATGTTGAATTGAATTGAATTGGATAAAGCTGACGGCATGCACAAAACACAACTTTAGACATGCACTATAGTGTTTTAAAATGGAGGAGGTGCCGATTGTGCCCGTGAATAGGGACTTTCGATTGACGGTGCCTTAAAAGGACGTCACATTACTGTAGCAGTCCACTATATCGACGTGCAAATCGAAAAGTCCCTATTGATCGAGGATGCACGGACTCACCATCTTCGAGGCGCTGTTCCAGAAGGCCGTCTTTGTATTATTGGGACAATTTAGGGATTTAAAAGGGGGCAGGGGTCAGTTGTGCCCCCATAAAGGTCGCGAACGCCAAGACTCACCATCTTCGATGCCCTAGCCCAGAATGCCGCCTTGGTATTGTTGGGACACGTTTCACTTGTCCATGTCGGACAGACGGTGAAGTTGAGTCCGAGTCCCGTGCCATCACCGTCCGTAGCGCCACACCAGGACAGGTTACCTGCCATGTAACCCGGAAAGGTCTCCTCTAGCACACTGAACTCAGGGGTGACCTGAGCAACGTCCTGTGGTATGTTGTTGCCCATAACACCCGACCAAAACATCGTCTGTACAGAAAAACAATTAAAAGATTAAAGAAGGGAAAAAAAGGGTAGACCACAGGATGATCATTGAAATTAGTTTCGTGCATGTTCTTCATTTTGCTCCATATAGGCCTAATCTTAAAGCTTGTGAATTTGACTGAAAATACAGAAACACTAATGGCATAGACTAATGGAAAATGTGAATTTCATTTTTATTTCATTAAAAAAAAAATATAAAGAAAGGGTAGAATGATAAAAAGGATAAGAAACTACTAACAAACGCTAAATCGCAACAGAAACAGGTCGAGAAAATGAGAATGAGTGGGAGAGAAAGAGAGAGAGAGAGAGAGAGAGAAAGAATGGAGAGGGGCATAAATCTGTTTAATGATTAAGAATGTTAACATAATTCGATGATTATAGTACAGGACTTGCATGAAATTTAATGATAATTGGAACAGCGGAATACTACGGCCTTCAGTAACATATCGAATGTTTTCTGAACTATAAGGATATTAAATGATAAGTGCCTCTTTAAACACCACCATCTACCATCATTTGAGTTTAAGTGCCGTCTTCAAATACATGCTGGTCCATATGCATGTATATTCAGTGTCATAGCTACAATGGCGCAGGAGAACACCCACCCCCCCCCCCCCCCTCCATTCGAATGGTGAGAAAATAACACGTAAAATAGAAAAATAGAGAAAGGGATAGATTGAAGGTGGAGATGGTCGGGGAAAAGAAGACGAAAGGACCCTATCCCGTACCCCCCCCCCCCGAATCAGTGGCCTTGTCAATTCCCGTTTCATTTTCCGACTAGATATCCAGATGATGTCAGCTTGTACCCGGCCCCTCAATATCAGGGGCCCGTTTCATAAAACTTTTTATCTATAACAAATGCTTAATTTCTATGATAATTCTGCTCTCAGCCAATCAGATGCCTTGATTTCAGTAGCTTATAACAGTAGCTTGTAACTTGTTATTGATATCAAGTTTTGTGAAACAGGGCCCTGGATTCGCGCTACGTCACCGTATGTTTTACCGGAATATATAGAGTTTGATTTTCAAACTATAAAAATATTAAAATTAGAATACATGATCCCTATAAGAATGATTGTAATACAAAATATGAAATAGAATGGTGTATACCTCATCTTTAAACAAAATGTAGACATTTGCAAAAGAATGTCGTAAAATATCTACGTGTTATTGATGCACGGATATTTTTGTTTGTATATATTCATTTCAATTCTTCTCTATTTTCTCTATTTCTCTCTCTCTCTATCTTTTGAAATGGCACATATGACCCCTGGCCAGTGCCCCGTGTAGCTACGACACTGGTTGCTTTCATTCCAATTCGTCGTATTATAACCATTGCGACCAGTCTGCTAGCATATATTTAATAACAGAGATACATATTAGTTCTTTCCAAGCAAGTAGGCCTAATACATGGATAGATCAAATCATAAAAGTGGGACAATGAAATTACACAGTTCCTTGTTTACTCTGTGCTTGAATATGGGACATGTGGTATGTAAGTGTACGTGTAGATTGTTTAATTCTCCTAGCCACAGATTCAAGATTTGTATTCACTCTTCCTTCCTTTGTCCAATGACATCCTTGTTTATGTTTCCTGTTCTATGCATGTCTAAATCCTTGCACACATTTATTCTGATCTAATCAAGTGAATTATATAGTTTTAAAAGCCAATTGTTGGGTGAGTGCTACGAACGCATACGGTAAGTCAGATGTTAATAATTTTGTGTATCACTTTTTTTTTAAATCTTGGGGTGGACGCGAAAGGGGCACGTGCCAAATTCGGCACTTAAAGGGGGTGGGAGCGAAATAATGGAAAATAAAGACAAGAAAATGAAATGGCCAAGAGAAAGAGAGGGCACGTCCGATCAGCCCCCCCCCCCCTGTGAAAACCCAAGTGGCATATATACCTCAGTAGTAGTAGTAGTAGTAGTAGTAGTATATTGGTAGTAGTAGTAGTAGTAGTAGTAGTAGAAGAATAGTAGTTCTCTAAGAATATGCCCCCTATCCCCTTTGATGAAAACCTTTTTCTTTTGTTTATCAAAAAAAAATAAGAATATTGTGCCTTCTTTTTTACAAAATCCTAGATTTGCCCCTGTTCATTTTCTGTCAGTATCTTAACGGTAATACAAAGTTTTGGGAAATTTTGAAAATTGGGTGGATAGTGAATCTTTACATTTTTTATATATTTGGATGCCCCTGTGGATGTATTATAAGTACTGAAAAATTGGCCCCTAAAACACTTATGTTTTCGAGAAAAACTGAATATAAAAATTTACCAGTGCTCCCGGTAAATGTTGATAAATTTCAAATAGCGACTATGGCCGTATGGTAGATGCGACCATGAAAATCTCAGAATATGTAGTTGTGATATATAATTTTCAAACGGGAATAGCTTATCCGTCGATTTTAGTCAAGAAACATTGTTTCATAGCTGAATTGATATCTTGACCTTGAGAGGGAGCTATACAACATAAATAGTATATTATTCATAATTTCATAACTTTAGACTCGGTTTCAACCGCGACAACGATCAATGAATATTGTAGGAACGCATATGCTTCCAATGTGTTAATTTGAACCAAATTCATGACCCCATACCAAAACTTTGTAATACCTTTAATTAGGCATAAAACTTACCGTGCCACGAACTGTGGTGGGTGGGACCATGTTGAGGAATTCATCATATGCGTTGTCTGGGGTAGCACATGGATCCATATTGCGAATGCCTTTAAAAAACGACTCCACTGCTGCACGACACTTGACATTGCGACTATGAGAGAGAGTGGGGGATACGTGGGTAGAAAGGGGTTGAGAGAGGGGGAGAGGGAGGGGGTAGAGAGGGGGTAGAGAGGGGGAGAGAGAGGAGAGAGAGGGAGAGGGGGAGAGAGAGGGGGTAGAAAGGGGGAGAGAGAGGGAGAGAGGGAGAGAGAGAGAGAGAGAGAGAGAAAGAGAGAAAGAAAGAGATGGAGAAAGATGGAGAAAGAGAGAGAGAGAGAGAGAGAGAGAGAGGGAGAGGGGAGGGAGGGGAGGGAGGGGAGGGAGGGAAGGATGGGAGTGATGAGACAGAGTGAAGGTGGAAAGGAAAAGATGAGAGAAAACAGGTGAGCTAGAGTAGTCTACATGTACATCTAAAACGATGCGAAGAGAAAGGTTTCACCTTAGTAGGCCCATGGTTTCTCGAAAAATTTCCAAATGAGATGAACATTACTATACATAAAAATTAAAGATGAGAAAAGGCAGGAAGAAAAAGTAAACTTACTAGAACGGGAGACATGGCTCTCCCAGGAGGCACTTCCGGTATTCCTCGCATCTACCAGTTAAGATGTCAGTAATGTTGGACGTGGTCCCTGGTCCTGTGTTGATGTAGGCAACGGTCATCGCCAGCATTGGTGACAAGTAGATGAATATGGTGTAGATGCCCATTTCGAATTTTGGTTCGTTCCTAAACAGGAACGATTACAGTGAAGTTATTCAAATATTTATGCTACCATGGAATTGGAATGTAACAGTCGACTTAAGACTGAGAGTATTCCATCATAGTATTGTCAATAGTTCGATCTCTGCTAATAGTTGGTTAAAATGCATTGGAAAAAGGGATAGGAAAGAATACACATTTTTGTAAAACAGTGGATGTAACAATAATTATTCTTTTATTCTTTTCGAGATCCAATGTCAATGCATTTAGGAGAAAAGTCAAAACATATTTTCTTTTATCAACTTTCCACGAAATACAACAATACAGGAAGTTATAGTTGATTATAATCCTTGATAATAAAACTACAAACGTTAATGTTATCATATTGTTGGGTAAACAATTTGTATTGCAGTGCAAAGTTTAATATGTCCGTCACATCTGACATTTCTTCTTTCTATCGGCGGTTAAGATATTATTATACAGCAGAAGAATATATATCTGAACGAAAAAAAAAAATCATTATACTCATCTTAAAACTAAAGTCGAATAGAATATTAGAATATTTAAAGTAGCACATCATGCGTATTATATGTACGTAAGACTTCCTATCATAAATGTCTCACAATATTCTTTGTTTATATTGTTATTGTGTTTGTTTTTTGGTCTTTTTAAACCTAGTCGTAACCATAATACTATATTCAAGTTCAAACAGCATGAAATATAAGGAACCGCGATCTCCAGCTACTGACAAAACTCTTCCCATGTAGTGATAGAAAAGAGGTCTGAACTATTCGAGACTAGCTTGCATGGGTCAATCTTAAAATGAACTTGACTCAATACCACTTAACTCTAGAGTTTAGTGCTCAATATACATACCGTTTTCTGTTTAACTGTGGCAGGGTTTATACTAGCGGACTATAGTTCCACTGCTGTTCAGAAGTACACCATAGAGCCTAGTTGTTCAAAGCAGTGTGTAACATCGCCGCTCATTTGTCATTTTATTAGGGTAGTCACGCGGGCAAAGATAATCAGCCTATTATTGCCTGTATAAGTAGTTTACAAATAATGGAAACCTACCTTGATACGGTTATGTACTTGTACTTACAACTGAGTGAAGATCAAGCACTGTGAATTTAACAAAATATTGTCACTCCTGCCTCAAAACCCCTGGTCAGTGAACAGGTATCCAGTGTTTAGAAGTCCAGTTGGGACTTGCATCCAACCAATAATGAATTCAAAGTTGAAATCCGCGGCTATATACTAGTATGTCCGTGGTGAATGTATATAGAGTGAACTATATAATCTTCATTATAGATGCCTGGGTAATTCCGAGTCCAAGGTGCATGGGTAATGTTGGTTTGTTAGTTCAGTCTAGCTTAGTGTTTCCTTATTGCACTTCAGATTCATATTGCACAATGAACTGGAAATGGCTTTACAATAACAACGAGAGAGAGAGAGAGAGAGAGAGAGAACGAGAGAAAGGGAGAGAGAGAGAAGGGGAAAAGGAGAGAGACAGACAGACAGAGGGAGAGATAGAGAGACAGAGAGAGGGGGCGGGGGAGAGGGTGGGACGAGTGAGACAGCGGGGGAATGTTAGATAATAAAATTTATGTTAGGAAAATATTTTGAGTATTTGAAGTACACAAGGAATTGAGTAATTGGTCATACTCCACTATGGCAACACACACCGAAACCATGCAAATTGCCATTGGGAGACTTTCCATATCGAACTTTCTACAGTTTCAAGGTTTATGAGATTTATGCACATTGCAACATGAACCTGAAATAGCTTTACAATAACTGTCGTATTATCGTATATTACACTTATGTATTAAAGGTAATGCAAAGTTTTGGGAAATTATGAAAATTGGATGGATAGTAATTCTTTACAATTTTAATATATTTGGATGCCCCTGTGGATGAAATATAAGCACTACAAAATTTAGCCCCTAAACACTTCTGCTTTCGAGAAATAAAATAATAAAAAATTTACCCGTGCTCCCGGTAAATTTCAATTATTTCAAACAGCGCGTAAGGCCATTCCACGGTAGTTGCGACCATGAAAATATCAGGATATGCAGTTCTGATATATAATTTCCAAACGGGAATAGCAAATCGGTCGATTGTAATCAAGAAACATTGTTTTAAGGCTAAAGTAATATGTGTCTTGAGAGAGCGCTATACAACATAAACAGTTTAGTATTTACAATTGCAAAAGTTTTGAAATGAAAGAGGGAGCATATTATTTAAATACTTAAACATGATCAGTAAACTTTGTAGCGAATTAATGTCGAATATTGTTAGGGTTTTCAGTTTGTAAAATATTGGACTTGTGTGAGACAAATACGGTGAACCAGTGCATATACGAAGGGCTTTCTTTTGCAATAAATAAATAGAGTTGATTTTGGTTTTGGCGCTGGTGGCCCATACTAAATTGCAATATGTTATATACGGTAATATCAATGAATTATAAAGAATAACAAGTGTAAAACATGGGATTAATTTTTTCATTTTATATAATAAACCAACATTCCTAGAAATAGAAGTAGTGATATGACGTACATGTTCATTCCAGTTTAGATTTTCATCGAAAATGACACCCAAAATTTTAGTTGTTCTCTTTCTTTCGAGAGGGACATTATCTATAATTAGTTGTAAGGAAAGTCAATGACATGCGAATTTGCGTGGTTGAAATACATACAATTTGTTTTATTTATATTAAGGGATAACTTATTGCATTGAAACCATAGAGATAATTTTGGTAACTCATTATTAAGTGTATTTACTAAAGTGTTTAAATTAGGATGTGAACAGCAGATGTTCGTGTCATCAGCAAATAGGACAAATGATAATAAAGGTGTTGTATTGGTTAAATCATTAATATATAATAGAAAAAGCAAAGGGCCTAAAATTGATCCTTGCGGAACTCCACATTTGGTAGGTAGGAAACTAGACAAAACATCATTATACATTACATATTGTTTTCTGTTAGATAAATAGCTCTCAAACTATGACAATGCAACTCCACGAATTCCATAGCAGTACAGTTTTTTCAGTAAAATTTGGCTTTTGATAAATCCATAAAAACTCCTATTACATGTTCTTTATTGGCCATAGCATTCCTTTTGATTTGAAAGAAAAAGGTGATGCTGTATTTTTACATTTTTCGACATAGTAATTTTCTGGATTTCTAGTATTATAATTATGCATTTCTGTTTTACATTTAATAATAAAGGCAGGATTATATGGTAATTTGTTATGTTTATGTTTAAAGACCATTAATGAGATACAGAAGTCATTCAATTGATAGATTGTGAGAAGATTAAGTTTTTTAAATAGTGGTTGTGAAGGAGCAGTATAGTGAGACATTGAACATATTCTTACAATCTTTTTTTGCAATTTCAATAATCCAAGGAGCCTACTTGGAAATGTATTGGCCCATACAACATTGCAATACATTAAATAAGGTAAAATCATTGAATTATACAGTAAGATTAAAATATGTTCTGGCAAGAAGTGGCGCAGTTTGCTGATGACACCAATATTCCTTGATATGTTTTTAGATATAGTAGATTTATGTTCGACCCATGATAAATGTTGATCGATAACAACTCCTAAGAAATTTGTGGATTAGACACGTTTTATGATTACATTATTCATACTAATATAAAGATTGGTCAATACATTTTCTGTAATTGTATTTTGCTTACGATGAAAGTATATAAAGCTAGATTTGGAAATGTTAAGAGATAACATATTACAATAAAACCACTGTGAAACATGGCATAATTCCTCATTAAGAAATTTACATAAATCATAGAAATTGTCATGGCTATACAGGATATTTGTGTGATCAGCAAAACAAAAATGAATTTCAATTTATCAGAGCAATTAATCAAATCATTTATATACAGTATAAAGTAAAGGGGCCTGGATTTAACCCTGTGGTACGCCACACTTTACTCTCATTGGATCTGATAAAACGTCGCTGTAAAAAGTTATTTAAGTTCGATTTTTTAGTAGTTTTCAAACCATAAGGATACTGTGCCTCTAATACCATATACCTTCAATTGTTCTAACATAATTTCATGGTTGATCGAATCAAATGCTTTACTCAAATCTAAAAACACCCCCACGGAGTGTAATTTGTTATTCAAAGAAGATATCAGATAATTATGTAAACCAACAAGAGCCATTTCAGTGGATACATTCCTGGTAAAACCATACTGGCAAGAATTTAATATTACATGTTTTGTTAAAAAATGTTCTAAACGATTGTAAACAATTTTTTCTAAAAATTTTGAGAAAAATGGTAGTACTGATATTGGTCTACAATTTCCAATAACATATGTATCATCCTTTTTATGTACTGGGGTTACTTTAGCAACTTTCATATCAGATGGCACAATACCAGTACATAAAGATAAATTAAAAATATGAACAATAGGTTTTGAAATATATATTAATACCTTCTTTAAAACACATGGATTAAGATTATCAAAACCACAACTACTAGTACTCTTCAGCGATTTCACAATTTTTAAAAGTTCTGATTCATTTACATGAGTTAAAAATAATGAAGCAACATTAGATTGAGGCAAGAATTTACAAAAATCATATTCATTACTTCTGGGGATGTTATTGCACATGTTAGGACCGATAATAATTTTTAAAAAATCATTAAAACAGTTTACAATAATAAGAGGATCATGAATGTCTTGACCATTAATACTAAAATATAAAGGTAAAGATTTACTTGATTTATCAACAATTTCTTTTATCACTGACCATGTTTGCTTTATATCACCTTTTGTTTTTTGGAATTTATGAGCAAAATAGTTACGCCGTGCTTTCTTTCTCAGCTTATTCACTCTATTACGAGCTTCGTGAAATTTAGTTTTATTTGTGTTTGATCTCACTTTACAATATATTCTATACGGTTTATTTTTGCCTTCAATTAATTTTAATAATTCAACATTCAACCACGTTTTTTTACATTTCTTTTAATTTTTTTTCTTCATAATATAAGGTAAATTTGGTTTTAAATTTCTTGTAAGCAATTTCTGCATCGTTAGAAAAAATGCGCTTATCCAGTCTTCGGTCATCAAATCAAATTTCAAGTTATTCATGGTTTTATCATTAATCAGCCGCTTTTTTTACATTCTGCACAGGCATATTAGATATAGTATGATTTATAATTTTAAAAATTGGTAAGTGATCCGTGACATTGTTGTTAAAAATCCCAGAAGTAATGAAGGAATTTAAATTATTGGTAAATCTATCAATTTTTCACTACGAGCAGAAAGACGAGTGGGCTTGCCAATCAATGGCAAAAGTTGTGACGAGTACAACAATTGTAAAAAATCAACACTATATTTATTATTAGATTTAAAAAAATCAATATTAAAGTCACCCATAATGTAAATAAGTTTATTTTCTGTATTAAGCTCCTGCAAACATGTGTCAAAGTCACTTATGAAACTATCGATTCTGCCCTTTGGTTGCCTGTAAAAAAATTCCAACAACAATATTTTTCCCTGATTGAACAATTATTTCAATAAAAAGAAATTCAATGCCATCAATATTTAAATCAATATTTTTTCTAATATTTAAATTGAGAGTATTTTAAACAAATAATGCTACTCCACCACCTTTGCCATCAATTCGATCAGAATGTTTAAACGAATATCCCTCTAAATTAAAAAGCATAGGCATTTAATTACTGTCAGATGAGCATATTTTGATACCTTATTATTTTGTGACACTGGCAGGACACAAACTGGTGTGGGGTCCAGGGGGCGGAGCCCCAAAAGCTCAGGGGTTTTATACATTAAATTATCGTCACATGAACATATTTTGATACCTTATTTGAGACACTGGCAGGTCACGAGTTGGGGTGGGGTCCAGGGGGCGGAGCCTCCGGAAGCTCAGGGGTTTTGGGCCATAAATTACGGTCAGATGAGCTTATTTTGATACCTTATTTGTGACACTGGCAGGACATAAATTGGTGTTGGGTCCAGGGGGCGGAGCCCCAAAAAAGCTCAGGGGGTTTTATACATTAAATTATCGTCAGATGAGCATATTTTATACCTTATTTGTGACACTGGCAGGTCACGAATTGGCGTTGGTTCCAACGAGCGGAGCCCCCGGAAGCTCAGGGGTTTTAGGCATTTATTTACAGTCAGATGAACATATTTTGATACCTTATTTATGACACTGGCAGGCCACTAATTGGCGTCAGATGAGCATCCAGGTGCCTGACTTTGGGCCTTAGGTGAAATCCATTGGGGGGGGGGGCAGAGTCCCCGGAAGCTTAGGGCTTTTAAGGCATTTAATCACGGTCAGATGAGCCATTTTTTTATTTTTTATTTTTTATTTTTTTTGGGGGGGGGGGGGGGGGCACCGGAAATTTGGAAAATACGTCGTCAGATATTTCCTTCAGGGGCTGGGGGGGGGGGAGGAACTTTTTGTTGTTGCCAGGGGGTCGGGTCCCCTGCCCACAACTGTAACTGTTCGATTTACATCTCTCGAGTGTCTGAGATGAACTGAACGCTGATGAAAAATGAGTACTGTACCATCAGCTGACGATAATATTTTGTGTAACCACTCAATTCACGAGTCATCTTGGATTTCTGTTCGAACAGGTCGATCTGCTCGGGTCGAAGCTGTGGTCGACTATACGTCGTGCAGGAGTCGTGAATGGTCGAATGTGGGTCGTGAATGCTCGAATAGCGGTCGGGAAGAGCTGCTGTTTAGGCATGGGGTCGGGATTGGTCGGGGAAAAATGGGTAATCGGGCTTGATTGGGCTTGATTTGGCTTGGTCGGGTTGGTTTGATCGGCAGTGGGAACCTACCATTATGGTAAGTCGTGGACAGACAACCCCGATGACTAATTTCATAAAGAATTCTACCATTGCGTCCAACGAAATACAAAATATAAAGGCTACGTTGAAAAAAAAAGGATAAAATATCAAATTTTACTCATGGCTCACATCATCAAGAGCAAAAAGATAATATAAATTTCCATAGGCCGCTTCCAAAAGCGTATAATTCCAAAAAGTTATAACATTAAGGTGGTCTCAGAAGGGATTTTTAATATTGCGTAATTGCATTGATGCAAACACACACACAAAATGAGAAATTCATGAATATACATTGCAAAATACGTACATAATGATTTAAACATTAACAAGTGAATCTGTCAATCAGGGTTTAAAAAAGCAACACTTAGTACCTGTGGACGGGACAGTTAAAATAAACAGTTTGATGGAATGGTAACAAGATAAGACAAATGAAGAGAAGGTGGAAAATAACATGGACGTGTAGCGGCTCTTACATGCCCTACTTTCACCGTACATTAATTCATGTCTCCTGTATTTTTCCATCACGGTTCTTATTTATATTCATTATTCGGACCACGTGTGTTCATTCCTCCAATCGAGCATCGTGGTTCCGCGCATCGTTCACCCGCGTATTTTCATCACCACGAGGTTTTCTTCACTCCCGCTTACACCTCGGTCGAGTCAACAACTCCCGCTTACACCTCGGTCGAGTCAACAACTCCTGCTTACATCTCAGTTGAGTCAACACGTTTCTGCATGATTTCTTCTCCGGGCTTGATTCTACTGTGCCTATCACTTCTATCGGCACATCTTCACTTTCACTGCCGTGTTCATCGGGCTGCAGTCTTCCAGTGGAACAGTTAAATCTAGTTCCGACATATATGGTGCTTGGTTATCCGCTGGGAGCTGCCAGTTTCTTCACCGGTAGTCTTTCACTCACATGAGCTCGACTCACCGCAGCTCATCTAAACATTCACCATCAAAGTTCGGCTCATCAATCGAGCGACTCACCGTCTCAGCACCACTACCGGCTTTGATGTCTGCATTTTCCACTTTGGCCTCCGACATCAAGCGACTCACTGCTTTCGTCATCGAGCGCCACACATCTCTTCTCTTCTCTTCTATTCTCGCCCGAGAGCTCCATCTACATTCATCATCATCACGAGCTTCGGCGACGACATCGCGTTCTTCACGGTTCTTCAACCACGTCAACGAAGTCGCGTTTCCGCCTCTTCAAGCCTCCGCACATTTCATCGCGTGAGCCCCTTCCTTCGTTCTCAACTCTCTTCATCTTCATTGGACTTTCGGCTTCATTTCTACTATTGTCGTAAGCTTTTATTATGTCATTACATTTCATTCAATAATGTCCATTTCCCATTTTACGTCATGATGTAGCACATTCACCAATAATATCTCTACATTGGTGACCCCGCGTTTACTTGGAAGCTTGGTTGTACGATTTTATTATTCCCTGACTTTTTGGACTTAGCAATGTTTTATAAAATGTATTCATTTTGGATTTGTTATCGAATGTTTTTATGCTCTTGCATTTATACAAGTTTATTCGATGCATACCATGTCAATACTCACTGTTCAATTTTTGGCAACTAAACAGCCGTTCGCATACCATGCTTGTTGTATTACATTCTTTCAACATGCCATGCTTGTACATTTCTTAGGCTGTTGTAAATTACTGCATACACTATACACTACATGCACTTTTACATTTTTATCAGCCATTGATTCTTGTGACATTTTGTGCTTTGCTCATTTATATCTTTTTCGCCTCTCATCTGTGTATTGCATACACAGCTTCAATTCTGGCAGGGGAGTAATGTAGCGGCTCTTACATGCCCTACTTTCACCGTACATTAATTCATGTCTCCTGTATTTTTCCATCACGGTTCTTATTTATATTCATTATTCGGACCACGTGTGTTCATTCCTCCAATCGAGCATCGTGGTTCCGCGCATCGTTCACCCGCGTATTTTCATCACCACGAGGTTTTCTTCACTCCCGCTTACACCTCGGTCGAGTCAACAACTCCCGCTTACACCTCGGTCGAGTCAACAACTCCTGCTTACATCTCAGTTGAGTCAACACGTTTCTGCATGATTTCTTCTCCGGGCTTGATTCTACTGTGCCTATCACTTCTATCGGCACATCTTCACTTTCACTGCCGTGTTCATCGGGCTGCAGTCTTCCAGTGGAACAGTTAAATCTAGTTCCGACATATATGGTGCTTGGTTATCCGCTGGGAGCTGCCAGTTTCTTCACCGGTAGTCTTTCACTCACATGAGCTCGACTCACCGCAGCTCATCTAAACATTCACCATCAAAGTTCGGCTCATCAATCGAGCGACTCACCGTCTCAGCACCACTACCGGCTTTGATGTCTGCATTTTCCACTTTGGCCTCCGACATCAAGCGACTCACTGCTTTCGTCATCGAGCGCCACACATCTCTTCTCTTCTCTTCTATTCTCGCCCGAGAGCTCCATCTACATTCATCATCATCACGAGCGTCGGCGACGACATCGCGTTCTTCACGGTTCTTCAACCACGTCAACGAAGTCGCGTTTCCGCCTCTTCAAGCCTCCGCACATTTCATCGCGTGAGCCCCTTCCTTCGTTCTCAACTCTCTTCATCTTCATTGGACTTTCGGCTTCATTTCTACTATTGTCGTAAGCTCTATTTATGTACATCGCATTTATTCATGTTCATTATCATCATTGATCATTATGTAACTCCGTGCAATATTCACATTTCTCATTTATGCATTCTCATTCCGATTCTTCGGCTTGTGCTTGGCTACACTTTGCAAGTGTACGGCCAGCCTCATCAGTACCCAATAAACATAACGAAAAGGGAATACTTTCTTGTATGTATTTTATTGCCAGTGTAACCTTGTTTCTTCGTAGCTAAAATAAAATAAAGAGTTATGTTGTGTGACGAGTGAACACGCTTTCAAATATCCATTCACAATACCTCACACTCATATCTCTACAGACGAATAGGAAAGGGAAAAGTAACATTAAACAATGAGACAAGCAAAATGTACATTAGATCTATACAGACATTTATATCGTGGTGAAATTAACGTACTTACATTTTCTAGGACAAAATCGGTTCCCTTTATTTAGAAAACTTGAAAGACAATTTTCTGACACATTTGATATGTTCTTCCCAAATTCATTTAAATTTGGGATTAGCCATAACGTTCAAAGTTATTTTTTGCATGACGTCATTAAAATTGAAGCAATTCTCACCATTTGGGGAGTGACATAATGTAGCTATGTGGATACAGAGGCATACGTGCTCTATTCAAAATAGAATTGACACTTGACACATGCTTATGCCACTGCTATACCAAGCGCTGATCAGTCATACGAAGTAAACAACAACAAAACAAAACAAAACAAAGCAAAAATGACGAAGAGACAGCCCAGCTCATGACAAGCTTAACTTTGTTGAATAATTCTATCGTTGCCCCCTCTCCTTCCCCATTCTGCCTCAAAATCATCACTGAGCATAATACCTCGTGTTTTTATTTTTGCTATCGACAAAAATAAAGATTCTCGTAGAATCTAACAAAATTAGCCCTGCATAATACTCCATAGAGAGTGTATGATGATACGAAAGTATGAAAATATATTATATGCAAAGAAAGATTATCAAACACGAACATTAAAACTTAACGAACAAAAAACACTGGGTAATCGAGATATTAGAAAATGGAATCCGTTGTATGCATAGCGGTGCTGGTAGTTTACGGATAATGTCATATTGCAGCAAGTTTTCGTATAAAATAAACAAAAAAGGAACTTTTACTGGTTCAAACATCAATTCCATTGCATGATAAATAATTCAAATGACATGGAATGTTTAAGATTACCTAAAGACGAAATCCATACTTACATTTCGCAATATCTAGTAGAAACGGCTGATCCAGAGATCTAATTATGTTTCATTTTTATCGTCATTATTTCCACCGGAGTTTATTTTCCAGATGTAATCAGAACCGAATGTAATATTGATGACAGTAATGATCACCAATCTTGATTATGTACCATAATCAAAAGTACCTTGAGTATCGTGTATACAATCGACGTTGTCTGTTAGTTGCAACGAGGGAGATTAAATGGAAAATGAAGGGAAGGTGTAAAGATCCTCATTATAAACAAGAAAAAATGGCGTTTGCATCATTTTTGTAGTTTGGAAACCTTGACATGTGACCATCATCAAACAGCCATTAATTTGTTTGGTATGATGTCTTAAGTTATATCCTCTAAAAAGTTTTAGACAGAATACATTCTAGAAAAAGTTTGGTAAAGTTTACCCGAAAATAAATAAACTTTTACCCGACTTATTTAAGTGTGTAGAATTTAATTTTGATTAAAGGACGTTTGATTTAGTTTATTCTTAGAACTTTAAAGATAAGGAAATAGGAATTATCACACACTAATATTGAAGAGGAATCATTTGATGACATCACCCTCTTATCAATATTTGTGACCGATAACCGATTAGCGAATTCTAATGTATATACTGTCTCTATAAATTTACACAAATCTCTATAAACTGTCATTTAAAACAAATACATGTAGAATTAAAAAAATAATGTCAGCGATTGTTAACATTTCGTAATTTCCTGTTCTTTTGTTTCCATTTCGTAAACAATCGCTAATTACTTTTAAACATAATTTTCTGATTTTATTCGAAGCAAGCAAACTAGGATTTCGCGAAGAACCATCCCAATCTCTATAGGGTAGTAGATATTGTATTCCAACCACTGAGAGACATAGCGAAAACGACTTGAAGCAGTATAACCACTATTGATGCAGCCACTACCGGGTTACCTTTGGCGTATGGCCCACAGTATGGACTATCTGCAAACCGAGCACACTGGAGCCACATGATTTCCCTGGTAAAATACAAAACAAGAAACATTACAGACAATTGTAAATAAGTGTGGTAGTAATTGGAAGTCTGTAAAAAAAAAAAGGGAAGTTATTGGAAAAAATAATTTAATGTGAGTGAGAGAAAGAGAGGGAGAGAGAGAGAGAGAGTGAAAATAAAAATGCATGCATACAATTAACTAATCATTTCATTTTTTTCAAATATTACTGCCTCTGTCGCAATACATTGTTAACACAATCGCGAGGACTTTTAACAAATCAACTAATTTCAATACCATATATTGTTTATTCCATTGGAATCTTGTTCATGGTTGATTCCATCCCTCCAAACCTTTTGAAGATGATACTATTCAAATGATGCATGCGCATGGGTTCATTATACGATCTATCCGCACTCGAGTTGAGGCTGTGTTTATCTATCGCACGAAGCCGTTAGGCTGAGTGCGATAGATACACACAGCATCACGAGGGCGGATAGATCGCATAATAAACGAATGAAAACATGCATCATTTGTTTTATACAACGAAACTCCTAGATCCTTGTTATTTGATGGCAAAATAATTAATTCAAGATTGTTTCGTGACAGTATTTGGCTGACAAATAAATCTCAAGTTTAAATAAGTCTCAATTTAGTGCGCACACCTAAGTATAGATATACACCGATTCGGTTTGGGGGTTTTATGTACCTGCCCGCCGGTGGCAGCGCTATAACTGGGGGGTAACCCGACACATGCTCCGCCGACGATTGCTCCGCCGACATTTACTCCGCAAAACGCGACAATTGCTCCGCGACATTTGCTCCGCGATATTTGCTCCGACGTCAAATGCTCCGCCGACAGTTGCTCCGCCGACAGTTGCTCCGCCGACAGTTGCTCCGCCGACAATTGCTCCGCCGACAGATGCTCCGCCGACAATTGCTCCGCCGACAATTGCTCCGCCGACAATTGCTCCGCCGTCAATTGCTCCGCAAAACGCGACAATTGCTCCGCCGACATTTGCTCCGCCGACATTTGCTCCGCCTGAAGCGACACTTGCTCCGCCGACATTTGCTCCGCCGACAATTGCTCCGCCGACAATTGCTCCGCCTGAAGCGACAATTGCTCCGCCGACATTTGCTCCGCCTGAAGCGACAATTGCTCCGCCGACATTTGCTCCGCCGACAATTGCTCCGCCGACAATTGCTCCGCCTGAAGCGACAATTGCTCCGCCGACATTTGCTCCGCCGACATTTGCTCCACCGACATTTGCTCCGCCGACAATTGCTCCGCCGACAATCGCTCCGCCTGAAGCGACAATTGCTCCGCCGACATTTGCTCCGACGACATTTGCTCCGCCCAAAAAGTGTCCCATAAACTACAAATGCTACTAGTACTACGACAAATGCTTCGCCGACAATATTTTCTTTACACCTATTTTTTTCGTTTCTTTTTTTCTTCTTCATTTTCTGAATGCATTTCTTGAAATAATGTAGATGAAATGAAATGAATGAATGTTGATGAAGTGGGAGGAAAAAGGAGTTACCTAAAAGTCATTTCGAATATACTGAAATAACTTTCCATCTATCACTGTACGTCCCATATAATGTATACTAAACACTCATTACATGTCGTGGGAAGTTTTTAAAAAAAGTAGAGCAGCAAGCCACATTCCCCAATACGCGCATACCTCCTAGTTAATTTCAAGTAGCTCATCAATATGTAATACCTGAAATTACCTCGATCAATGCATCTTACTAGGTAAAGCATTATACAATGTAATAGGTCATCATGGAAGTTTAGAAAATAAGTAAGGGGGATTTACCAAGTGTTGATCTTTTTAAGAGTTTTATAAAGAAACAAAAAGATATTGAATATTTCTCAGCGAAAAAAGGAACAAGCTTGTTTCGCATTTTAAGAAATGGCGATTTGACTTATGATACTCATGTTGATTTAACTTTTATTCCTGTGCCCCCTCACTCCCTTTTATGCACTGGAGTTCAAACTATGATTTATATGTGTACAGTGTATTTTTTTTTTTACTATAATGTTTTTTTTTTTATAACTTTCTTGTCCTTTCATTATTGTTAGTTGTTCTTATACATATTGGTTTTTTTGTTTGTCTAATTATTACCAATGACTTGTAAATATATAATTTTTATATGATTGAAAATTTAATAAACACACAAATATAAAAAAAAAAGTTTAGAAAATAAGGGCACTTATATACGTAAGGAAGAGAACCCATTCAGACGGTAAAATGAGATGGCAGCCTTTCTGCTTATTCACATTTATACAAATCATTTTGTTGCAGTTTGATGTTAGTTCTTCATGATAAGCCAATTGCTCTTCTTCCGGTGGCTTCGTGAGTCCCTTAAATTATTTAGTGAAAACAAAGTACTCGAATGAAACGGAGTGTTTTGCACACTAACATATATATATTAAAGCTACATACACTTAACTAAAGGAAAGAAACCTTTAGAAAATGGACTTGATATTATTGAAAATATTATTCTAAACAAGAATGTACTACATGATTGTATTACTTTACGTTTCAATTTCACGAGAGAAATAGAACTCGAGAGGGGGAGCAGAGAAGAAGTGATGGAAATGAAAGAAGACTAATAGCATGAGAGGAAAGAAAAGAGCAAAGAAGACAAGAAAACGGTGTAAACAGGAAAAGGAGGAGCATGGGAGAGAGAGAAAGTGAGAGAGAGAGAGAGATAACCTTGAGCTTTGGATCAGCTAATGAGTAATACATGAAACAGATTTTGAGCGGAGTAATTATCTTTCGCCGGAGAACTTGCGTAAGGAGCTATAATTTTATTTTTTATTTTTTTTAAATCAAACATTATGGGGAATAGCAAAAAACGGTTGTCTTTTTTGCTCTTTTCTTTCCTCTCATGTTATTAGTCTTCTTTCATTGAGGTAATTTCAGGTCTTACATATTGATGAGCTGTTTGAAATTAACTAGGAGGTATGCG